GCACTGAGGAATCGAGTCAAAAAGTAGACTAAATAATAAATATGCCAAGATTCATGCACTTCTCTTTTCAAATTATGTAGCTTCTGTGGTTAATAAAATATAAAGTCTATGAAAAAGCATGTCTGAATTCATGGTTTCTTTTTGCTATTTATTCTCATAACCAATAAAAATCTGAAGCCCAATTCAGATTATATTACTGTCATGTGGGGAACCCCAAAACACAATCATCCCCCAAATGATGTTAAAGGAAGTCCTCCCATCTAGACACCATTTAATTGAACATATTAGAGACACTCCCCAATAGTGCCTATAGTTAATAAGGGACACTTGCCCAGCTTTTGTCAATAAAACAAGTCCCTTGGTACAGCAGAATATGACCAGCTGACACACAGTAAATCAGCAAGCCCTTCAACTACACAGCCCCTTCTAGCCATTCGGGGTGGCTCTGGACACTTCAAATTCTAATACACAGACTGAAAAGCAGGTGTGCCTGATTTTACTGTGCTCCCATTTATTGAAAAAAATACAAAGTCCTGATACCTAATACCTCTCCTGTAAGCTACAAGGTGTTTGTTTGCTTGCTTGTTTATTTTAATGAGTAAGGAGGAGCCACAAGGTTGACGCATCTGAATTCACAACAGACAAAATAAATAGACATATGGTCAGTCACCCTTCAATCAAACAGACCACTAGTTTCATCATTCAACATACGTTTACTAAGTTCCCGATCATTTATTAGAGGCAGGTGCTAGGCATCCTGGGTAAAATTCCTGTGCTCAGTGAGTTTGCCATCAACAGCTACCAAATGATACCTTTTTGGGACCATAAGGTACTTTGGGAAAAATACAAGGTAGAATGCCTTTGAGTCATGTGGTCCTCCAACCCCCTCAACCACCTCAACTAAGGCCCCAGGGCCTTGTACCTGGGTAAGCACTCTACCAGTGAGCTAAATCCCAACCCCTTTTGTCTTTTTTTTTTTGAGCCATGGTTCTTAACCTTCCTAATGCTGTGACCCTTTGATACAGTTCCTCATGTTGTGGTGACCCCCAATCATAAAATTATTTTCATTGCTACTTCATAACTGTAACCTTTCTACTGTTATGAATCATAATGTAAATATCTGATACGCAGATGGTCTTAGGCAACCCCTATGAAAGGATTGTTTGACACCCCCAAGGGGTCATGACCTACAGGTTGAAAACCACTGCCTTAGAGGCAAATTGCTTAAATGGGGGGGGGGGGCAGGGCGCTCAGTCCTCCAACCTAGATTGTCGATCAGAAATGAAGTGTGCAACCCATCAACATACAGAACCCCACATCCACAGGTCTGCAGCCAGGACATAAGGCAGATGCCACATTGGTTTGTGCGTTTTTTGTTTTTAACAAAACTAAGTCACCCATCTGCTCTGACCCTCATGTGTTTAATATTAAGTATAAAAATAGTTGTGTTTGTAGCTCAGTGGTAAGTGCTTGCCCAGGGCATGTAAGACTATAGATTTTATCCCAAGAGCACAGTATAACAAAAGCAAATTAAAATCTTAGAAATCTATCAATGCCAACATTCAACTAGTTTTTAAGACACCAAAGCCGGCAGGTCTGACTGAAGCATCTGAGACTTGGTACACGTACACATGTATTAGTAGTGAGCTAAACCATGAGACACTGTGACCCTTACTAGAGATATTCAAAACAGCTTTAACAAGGTTGTCAAAAAAAAAAAAAAAATCAGCACTGTAGGAACATGCTAGAAACCAGAATTTCCTTGCACTTTAAAAACAAATACAGTGAGTTAGTATTTTTAAAAATTCTTTGGGGGGAAAAAAATGAATCTCCCAAGCTACACAGCAGTTTTTAAATTGAAATGAATGCCTTTCTATTCTAGGAATTGCTCTTAAGCCTGTTAACGTTTTCTAGCCTGGGCCGTGCTACAGTATAGCTAACACTACCAGCCCCAGGTGCTTGTCACAACGCAGCCTGAAATAAACAGAAAGAATCCCCCACACACACTTGTGAAGGGGGAACAAGCTGAGAGCTGGAGAAACCGCTCAGCAATCAAGAGCAAGTTCTGCTCTTGCAGAGGGTCAGAGGTCACTTCCTAGCTCATGGGGGGTGGGGGCTTAACAACTGCTTGTAACTCCAACTTTAACACTTGCACCCATGTGCACACACAGCATGCACATCGTTTTAAAATAATAAATCTGTTTAAAACGGGAACAAAAACCTCGGATTCTCTCAAAGTAGATAGTACATAAATTATGCATTAACGAAATAACAAGTCAGCCCAACTTTGAAGTTCGATTTCGCAAAATTTTATAGGCAATAAACTCAAAAGTCAATGCTCACTGATATTTACTTGGCGCTAAATATCAGCTACTCTGCGGAGATTAAATCAGATGATGCCTACGGGTGTGTATAAAATGTCTAGAGTGCTATTGCTATTGCTCCCATTTAAGAGGTGAGAAAACTGAGGCTGACAGAGTCCAACGGTCCATAAGCACATGCTTCCTCAAGCTGACAGAACCAGAAGTCAAACACAGGTGTGCCCAGGAAATGGGGAAAGGGGGTACTTTTAGTCTGCCATTTCTGAATGTTCTAGAACAGTAATTTAAAATGTGTGCTTTTCCTAAGGAAAGACCAAAGAGTTTTAGTTAATTTCCCAAAGTCATAATTCCACAAAAGGCCCAATTCCACAGCTTCACCCAGTGTACCACATCAGCACCAGTGTGGATATATGAGCTTTCACGCCCCTCCTCAAGTTTTATTACTTCTCTGCTGCTGAAATAGGGGAGCCACTTCCAAAGCCACTTTGGTTTTGTTTCAAACTTGTCAGGGCAAATCAAGATTTCACTCCACCATCCCCCTGGTAGGCTAAGGCATGCCACGAATTGCCACGGACTGGCACAGCACTGTCTGTGAACTTCCACAAACAGTGACCAAAATCGTTGGGCCATTCTACTCGGAAGCACAAAATACGTTTCACTCAACCAATCATCACTGCCTTGCCAGGGAAATAAGACACCGTTATATCCACTTCGGAGAAAGAAAATCACTGTCACTCTGAGTGGAGACGATGAATCAACTATACAATCAGGATCAAAAATGAGACCTTACCCGCCCCCAACCCCCACATCTTCAAGACTTGTGCATACCACATTAGCTAAACAGAATCATTTATAGCCAGTTACCCAGAGGCAACATGCTAGCTACATCAAAGAGAGATGTACCCATCTGCACTGTTCTCTGGCAGCATCTAGGGTGGGTGTGTCACTCAACCAACTCCTGGAATGACTAAACTCAGTCTGGAATTTAGAGCTATCCAAAATTCCAGGTCAGAAACAGCATTCTTGTCAGAGTGAACTTTACCTTGAAAGTCTCCACTTTTGACTACAGAACTGAGCTTCTAAGGAATGAAATGCACCCAGACCTCACAATTGAGAAGCAAAAGAGTTCTAGAAAGCAGATCTCCAGACACCTGTCTGTGATTCCTGCAATCCCACAGGCATCCAGGAATGGGTCACGGTTACCACCAGAGCCTTGGCCAACCACCAGTCAAGGTTCCTTCCATCTTTGCCAGGCTGGGACTTGCCTCTGCTAGCTGTGGCCAGATCTGGTCCCTGCTTCCAAGCCCGGCACACAGGGGGCTAGTACCAGGACCCTGGGCTCTGTTTACTTCTAGGGACAAAGGCAATTGTTTCCTAGTGCTAACCCCAGCAGAGACGGGGAAAATACCAGTCTGGCACTGCGGAATTAATTTCACAAGGAGACTATGCTAGGGTTATGTTTTATTTATGGCCTTGTCTGATCAAGATGATTTCTCCCACAAGAAACATCCAAAGCAAACAATCTTAAAGGCGTGGAGAATCTTCCTTCCCTGTCTTCCAAAGAAGGAAGGAAGAGAGAAAAGCAAGCCAGATGTAGCAACCTAGGGGATCACGAAACTCAGTGTGTCAGGAAGCGAACCACAAGTTTTGGATGCACAGCCTTCCAGGAAATGAGGCTGGACAAAGTCCTCTGAAGAAGGAAAGATGCATTCTACACAGTATCCTACAGCGCTCCTCTGGACACTGAGTCCGAATGGGAGCAGTAGGTGCTCATGTCTGTGCGAAGACAGGCTTAGCGTGGGGAATCTTCCTCTGCCCGACGACGGAAGGTGAAGTGATCACCAAAACCATCCACGGGCGGCCCCAGGGAACCCTCCAATCCGACATCCCAATAGTGCAATTCCACAGCCGCCACTCCCACCCGCGTCCTACGTTCCAGGTCTCCTGCTCCACCCAAGACTTCAGGAGTTAGCACTCCCACTTCTAGAAATCGGATCTGAGTTGTGGGGATGAGCCAAGCTTTCAGATCACATCCTGACGCTCTGACGCTGACAACCCAGCAGATACAGATAGGAAGGGACTGGCTCTGTGACATTTCCAAAGCACACCGTCGGGTAGCCCCTGTAGAAAAGCGCGCGGGGTCAACCACAAGAAGTCAAGGACCCAAAGAACCGTGACTATCCCAGGCTGGTGACAGAACGCCTTTAGTTCCCCTCCCCTCTCCAAAACACCGGGACTGAGGTGTCCCTGCAAACGGGACCTGGAGGGTTCGGGATGGGATAGGCGGTGCCCACCTCCTCGTCCTGCTCCTCCTGGGATGCGCTGCTGACCCGGGGTACCGGCAGTACCGCTCCTCCGGGAGGCGGCAGCGGCAGGGCAGGAACTCCACGCTCCAGCGCCACGCGCGCGGGAGCCCACGCGGCGGGCAGCCGGGTTCCCAGGGCGCCGCCCGGCGGCCGCGGCGGCTGAGACCTGCTGGAGAAGCGGCCGGGCTCCCCTTCCTCCGACAGAGTTTCCGAGCCGGAGGACGACTCCGCCGAGGAAGCTCCCTCCGAGGACACGGCTGCCGCCGGAGGGACGAGAGTCCGAGCGCCGTGGCTGCTGCAGCCGCGGGGCACCGGCTCGGGCGCCTCGGAAACTTTCTCCCCCATGTCCCTCTCCGGCCCGAAGTGCCACCCGATGGGTGGCGGGGCGCTCGGCGCCTCCCGGGGAAGCCCGGGCTGCTGGGCTGCGTCTGGATCACGCTGCGGCTCCCGGGCTGCGGGGAGCGCCGCCGGCGACTACATGACCGCAGCTGGGCCGCAGGAGCGCGTCGCCAAGTTCACGGCCGCCGTGTCTGGGCTGCTGACAGGGACTCGCGCGCGCAGGGCCATGCCCGCCGCGATCCGCGCTCCGCGCTGCGCCCGAGCCGCCGGGACTGCGGCTTCTCTGGCTAAACCTGCCTCCGGGACGGAGCGGAGGAGACGGGCAGCCCGCGGAGCCAATGGCAGCGCAGGCGCGCCGGTGGGCGGAGGCTACGGAGCCGCTGGCCGCGCGGGCGTCAGGTAGGGGAGGTGGGGCCAGGCGCGGGGCCACCCGATCCCCCGGGAGCTCTAGGGGCGCGGGGCAGCCCCACGGCGCGGGACTCGGTGGGGCGGGCGCCGAGCACGCAGGCTCAGCCCGGGCTAGGACTCCGAAGTGGCCGAGGGAGTGGCCGTCCGTCCTTGGGACGCGGGAGGGAGATGGCCGAGTGAGGTCAAACCTTGGAGAACGGGACTTAGTCTCCTAAAAGTGAAATCGGGGGGAAACTGAGCCGGAGGAGGCTTCGCGAAGAAACGGAAGCGCACGGCCACTCACGCGCGCGCTCACGCTCCCACCGGTGTGCAGAGTGAAGTCGGTGATGGAGCGAGGGCGTCCGAGCGGAGCTGATCTCCAACCCGCTTTCTGGTTAAACTTCTTGGGACCTCAGTTTCCTGGATTGTAAAGGGAAACGTTAACGACGGTGTTGTCTGGCAATAAGACTAGAGCAAAATAGTCAGCCGAGTGCTTGGCTTGAACACAAGCCAAGGTCTCCAAAGATGATTTTATGTATTTCTGCTGAGAAACTAAAGTTAAGTCAAAGACACGCGCCTGTAGCAAAGGAAGAAAACAGCTGATGCCTTGTGTTTAGGACCAAGCTTGTTAAGAACGGCCCTAGCAGCTGTCTGCGGTTCTGCTGCTGGGTAAAGACACATTCCTTCTGACCGGCTTTCTCTAGCCCTAGATAGCAAAACCGCAGCACGCTGGACCTGGCTTCATTTTCCTCCCTTCTAAGAACAAGGAGATCTTCCACCAAAGGCACCAACACAATCACCTTAACCTTTGTGGTGTCTTGAATCCCTGGGAAGCCAGTGCGGAGTTAGGCAGTGAGAAATAAATGATTTCTCTTGCCTTCAGCTCCAGAGCCGTCTGAGCTCCACACTGTGACCCGGGGTATAAATTCAGCCAGCTTCCATTCTGTAGACGTTGATTGAGATGTGTGCCAGTTGGTTGCAGGGGATACAAAGATGAATATGGCAGGTCCCCTGCCCTTGAGGAGCTTGTGGTCGGGGGAGAGATTGATACTGCATAATATCGCCCCATTATTCATGTTTAAAAGCTCTGGTAAGTGCTATAGTGTGTGCCGTGGGAGAAGAGGGGGCGAATTACAGCGAAGCCATTGCAGATCTTCAAGCCCAGGAGTCCTCCAGAATTTTACATTTCTGTCACAATAGGTTTGCCAAGGGTCCTTAAGAAAAGGACTGGAGTTGAAAGCCCCGTTGGCTAATGAGCCCTTTTATGCTACCCAAGTATTTACAAGTGATAATGGAAAAAAAAGTGTGTGTGGGGGGGTACCTATCTAGTCTGGACAGGCGGCTTTGTCCTGAACACTTTTCGTACTGCCTCTGAAGGGAAAAGCAGTAGGATGTGACCCTCCGGCTGCAGACAGCTGTCAGAGTTGCATTGTGACACTTGAGAATGATCCAAGGGGATGGGAAAACCCGCTGAGGTAAAAGGACATTCAAGAGACTTAGCTAAGTGGTGATGGAGAGGCTGAAGAGCGCACAGTGGGGCGGTCTGAATCCACCCCCTGGGCCTCACAATGACTTCCCTTCTTAGAGTCCTGGCCTTTATCTGAGCCCCTATGTGGTTGATTCAGCACAAGGGACTGAAATAAAGATTTAAGCAAGCCATTCACATCAAAGAGGAGGGATTGCCTCTGGGTTCGGGGAAGGGTGCAGGAAGGACACGGTCTGAATCCTAACAGCAGAAGCAGCAGCAGTTTCCTAGAGTCCGAGCTCCTTCTGGGAATGGCCTCACCAAGTCCCGGTGGGCACCAGGTGGGACACATTCTGTTGGTAACACTTGAAGGCACCGTGTCTGTAAAGCCAAAGAGCTGGTCAAAGGTCACACAGCAAGTGAGCAGTGGCGCTGTGGTTGGTATCCTGCTTGGGAGAATGTCACTCAGAACAGGCAGTTTTTTAATCAAGGATACATGTATGTGCATACAAGACTATAAATAGTCATAGAAAAGGAATACTGTTGCCTTGGTTCATTATGCAAAAAAAAAATTTTCCCTTTGGTCACTTTTTTTTTAACCCACAAACATTCATAAGACGCTGCCAGGTAAGGTTTTAAGCACTATACAAACTGTTATACTTAATCCTCATGTTGATCCAGTCAGGTAGCTTCATTTTTTTTTTCTTCTTTCACATATGTGAAATACTGAAATCTAAAACAGAGAAGTTAAGCAGTTTACCTAATGTCACACAGCTAGCAAGGGTTAGAGCCAAGATTCAAAATCCAACAGTAGTCATGCTCTTAACCTGTGCTATTCAAAGTCAAGAACTAAATAGCAATTATTAAACATTTCAAACACTGATCCCAAATAAGAAATACATTTTACATTGCAAATCATGGCACACATATATACACACAGATGCAAATAATAGTTCACCATTTAAGGCTTTTTCTGTAAACAATGCAGCCTGAAACTTTTATTAATTTTTTCTGAAAATAAGCATGCTAGTTGTGATTTATTAAGTGGGTTTCACACTCTGCTTTAAAACTCACAGTTAAGTTTCAAAGCATGCTTGGTCATCACACTTAACAGTGTCTGCCTGAAAAGAATGACTGTAGTTGAGGCTAAGAGTTTCCAGATCAGAACAGGGCAAACTCAAAGTATGGCTAGAAACACAAGGTGGTCAGAAAGTCAGAATTGTTCCCTGAAATTATCCCAAATAGACACACGGGCACATCCTGGGATATGGCTAAACCACTAGGTCCAATGTAGCAGGAATCTTAAAAGTTCTTATTAATAAAATCAAACCTGAGCCAGGTATTGGGGTAAACACTGGAAGATCAGAGAGACAGAACAAGCCACAGCTAACCTCACCTGGCCAACTTTTCAGCTGATCCTGTTTCCTCAGACTGGAAGCCTCTGTGTCCTCATATCTGAATGGCTCTCAGCTGAACTGTGCTGCTCAAAACCTAAAAGCTTAACCAGCCAAATGCTTCTAGTTTCTGGTCCTCACGCCTTATATACCTTTTTGCTTTCTACCATCACTCCCTGGGATTAAAGGCTCGCTTTCTGGGATTAAAGGCGTGAGTCACCATGCTTGGCTGTATCCTTGAACACATGGATTTCTGCCTCTGGAATGCTAGGATTAAAGGTGTGAGTGCCACCATTTTCTAGCCTTTGTATCTAGTGGCTGTTCTGTCTCTGACCCCAGATAAGTTTATTAGGGTGCACAATATTTTGGGGAACACAATACCACCACAGTCCAAGTCAGTTTACACACCAAAATCCTGCAATTCAACTTTCCTGTCTTATTAAAGTATAAATCCCTTTCCCAGGGTCCCCACGAGTGTCTCCTCTGAGAGAATGTTTCAAAAATGTCTGCAACATTGGAGACTTTGAGGCCTGAGATGAGAGGGAAAAGAGTATCCCCAACCTCCACCTCTGCATTTGCTTGCAGGTATGGGGGGGGGGGGGCGTTAAAGACATAGTTCTGACTCCTGTGAGGCATTAACACATCTTCAGATGAAGAACCAGAGCAGCCACAAGAGAAGAGGATCAGAGCAGCCAACACACCAGATGTGTGGCGTTTGTGGTTGAGCACTTGCCTCAGATTTCTGTGTTGTGCTCCTAAGTGATGAAACCATGACCTCTGGACCTGTATGGTCTCTGCTAGTCTCTGCTGTGTGGGCAGAGCAGGGTGACAATGTCAACTCTGACTGGCAGATGAATGATGTTCTAGTACAAGGCATTACCAGCTTCATCAATTCCCAGTACTGTGGCCTTTCTTCCAAGCATTAGGTTTAGGGCTCAATAAAACAGAAATCCATCCTTTTTCTTTCTTCTATAAAATGAGATCATCATAAACTCAGAATGAACCTTTTTTTTTTTTGTAAAAATCACAGTTAATATGTTCCTAACTACTTAATGCACTGAAACCGTTTAACTATCAGCTTGTCTTACGAAAGGTGATAGATTATCTACCTTTGCTGGGTTAGTTTTTCCTCTTCTCCTTTATTTTGTGGAAGCAAGTGCTACAGTACAAAGTCCCAGAGGGCAAGTCGAAGAATTTCTAAATCTTGGTGGAAAAGGCCTGGGAGGAAGGGTGACATGTATAACAGCCATCAGGGGCTCTCACCTAGAAGGTGAGAAGGGTGGGAAACCAAGCTCTGTTAGCAAATGAAAACACGCCTTTGCTGAACCAATTGTGCATAATCTTATCTATTGCGTTTATCTTGTCTGTTATAGGTGGAGTGTGTGCCAAAGATCACCAAGGAAGCAGGGATGCTCATTCCCACCAAAGATGTGGGATTCTGCATTTTCATAAGACAACCCCCCTCCCCAGTGAATAAACATTGGGTATCTGGAAGCTGAGGGAGTGCTACAGATGACCTTCTTTTGGAAAATCAAAGAGATGTTGTAAGGGGCAAACGGCATGGCTCCATAGAACCCAGATAAATGTGACTAACTGCAATTGGGTCTCTCTGGACCTTGTGTTACTCTCCTGGAGACCAGCCACCTTGGAGCAACTTAGCGGCTGGACTAGACTATGCGCAAGCTAAAAACAGCTGGGAAAACTGAGCTAAAAAAAAAAATTAAAAAAAAAAAAAAAAGGAGACCACATCCCCAGAGGATTCTGTTCAAACAAAGTCCAGCATAATGACCTACTTCCCACAGAAGACTCCCACCTTTTGTATCAGTCTTTCCTAAGATGAATAGTCACATCTGCGATTTTTGTTATGCTTTCAGCATGAAAATGCTCTTTTATTATCACTCTCCATGTTTCAAAAGGATGTATCCAAGACCCTTTGCCTGTTGGGTAATAGAAGACAAGGGAAAAAACAAAACGTGGCCACTCCTTTTGGTTCGTTGTGACGGTTTGCTTTCAGAGTCAAACGCTTCCATTTTCCATTTTTGCTTTTTCGATCAATCTCCTTGACTTTGTCCACACTGTGTATGTAGCAAGAAGACCCTTTCGCCATGAACTCCAGCTAATTGGAAAAGAAATGATGGAAGCAGTAACATAGCAAACGCTTGCTTCCTCAAAGCCACAAGGCACGTGCAAACCCACGAGTGATTTTTAAGGTATTTGCTACTGGAGGATATGTGATCTTGCCCTCTTTTCTTTCAGGGAGTGTAGTCTGCCAAACAACCATGACAGAAAAAGCAGAATCCAGTCTCTCGTCCAAATCTATTGGAGCAGACAAAATTCCCAGAGGTTTTAAAGACATAGGAAAGTTAGCAAACACCGATCAGGTCCACTGGTTCTCATCGAAACTGCACATTAGATTCACTTGGGACCTTTACCAAATCCTGATACTGAGTGCCACCCTGGGGATGTTTAGTTGGCTTCGGATGTGACCTCAGGGTTTAACGAGTTCCCTAAATGGGAAGTGATTGGTTTTTAGGGCTGAGGTCATGGAAATAAAAGGTGAGCCTGGAACAATTCATGGTGTCCAAGTTCAAGAGCTGCCCAAAGAAAGATGGCATCAGAAGGTGGAGGTACCAGCCTAAAGGAAATCTTTGTGGCCAAGTCTGGGAGAATTTGAACTCCAAACAATGATGCTGTTGTGTTTTAAATCACAGGATAAAATAAATATCCATGAGTCTCAAGTCTAAATAATTAATGAACCACAAAATAACTACATAGGACATTGTTCAGTGAGAACTGTTCTTACCTAGGGTGTATGAGACCTACGTTTGATCTCCAGCTCTGTGGTATATGCCTGTAATCCCAGTGGAGGCAGGAAAATTCATACTTCAAAAATGTATTTAGCTATGTAACAAGTTCAAGGTCAGTCTAAGATGCACAATACCTGTGTTTTGTTTTTTTAAATGTATTGAGAGAAACAGAAACTTCTTAAAACAGAATTCCAATAAATTTTACTGAGAAAAGAGCAATGAGAGAAATAGATAATACAGCAATGATGTGGAAGGGTGCAAGGATGGCAAGACTCAAAAAAAAAATCTACTAAACTGTTCAGGCTGAAGTTTGAGGACAATAAGATTTGAATAGACCCAGTGTTCTGCAGCAAGATAGTCATCAATACAAAATGAAGGATAGTGACTTCACAGCAGAGGAAGCCAGCAGACACCAACTTAACCATGTAAATGAGCATCACTAATCATAAGACATGTAAACACCCAACCCAATTGCTAGGATAGACAACATCATCTCTCTAGTGCACGTAACAAATACACACAGCCTCACTTCATCATGAGAACATATAGCAAACCAAAATGAGGGCATTATAGAGAACTACTTCAAAAGTATCCAGGTCACGGAAGAGAAGAAATGTGTGAGGAGCTGTCACACAAACTCAGAAGCTACAAAGAAATGGGAGATCCTAGAACAGTAGAAAATGACATCAGTGATGTCATTTTGACATCAAATACAAGTTTTAATCAAATACAAGTTTGGGTAAATGATATTGGGGCAATTTAGTTTCTTATTCTTGATACTTATGGTTATAATTATGTCCTTAGAGGAAGCAGGGTTAGGGATATTAGGAACTCTGTACATTTTAGAACTTTTTGTTGAGTGTAAAACTAGTTGAAAATATGTAAATCAAAAGCAAAATTCCCTCTGTAGCCTTTCAATGACATTTTCCTGTCTTGTTTTCATCAAAAGGCCTTTTTTTTTTGGGGGGGGGGGCAGGAATAATTATATAAGAAGCAGTATCAGTGATACTGGCCAACATCTGTACAGGATAATGTTCATGGTAGGTGCTGCGGGAACACCATTGGAGCATCAACATAATAGCAGATGTCTTTGGAACTGGGCCATGGCCATTGTGCTTTCTTTGTAAGAGTATCTGTGTTACTAGGATGTTTTGCTGCTGTGACAAATAGCTCGGCAAAAACAAATATAAACAAGTGGGTTCGTTTTGGTTCAAGGTCTCAGAGGTCTTGGTTCATTATCGGCTAGCACTGCTGCTGTGCCCCTGTGGTAAGGCAGAATAGCATGGATGCAAGAGAATTTTGCAAAGCAAAATTTGCAGCTCAGGGAAACTGGAAAGCACAGAGAGAGAGAGAGCAATCAGAAGAGCCTACTTTCCCCAGTGATGTCCTGCCTTCCATAATTTCACTACCTCCTGTATGTTCAAATTTTAAATCCACCAGTAGATTAAAGCATTAAGAAAGGCCCTGTGACCCCATCACCTCCTTAAAGCCCCACCTCTGAACACTGCATTGGAGACCAAACCTTCACACATAAGAGCCTTTTGTGGGGAGGTGGTACCATAGCCAAACCATAACAGCATCCCAATCTATTCTTAAGCAATTACCTACATCTACTTGGACAGTCATGGCTTTGTTAATCCGGGAGTGAGATGTTCTTGGATTTTGAATCTTGACAAGTATAACTCGTTGACAGTACTCTTACTAGCTCCCTCTAGAGATGGCTCACCCTCAGTTCTTTGCTGAGACCTTTCCTCCAGCTTTGTTTCTAATCCTGTCAGACACCAATGGAACGACCCCTACTAGCTAAAGTACTGCCACTCATAAGCAAGGGATTCTAAGAAATATGGGTATACTGACCCAAATCCACTGGTTTCCCCTCCAGCTGTGAATAAACTCTGTATAAACAATTCAATGTGTATTATGATACTAAAGTTACAGATGAGTCGTTGGCCTAAATTCGGGTGCTGATTCTATACAAATGTTAGGGAACAGTATGTCAGGTATGAGACAGAATCCTTTTTCCTGGAGGTGGAAATATTAAGATAATCTACCGGCAAAAGAAAAGTCCTGGGAGAAGCAGATCCTAGTACAACATGATGTTGGAACTGTCTGTCTGTCTTCCTACTCAGCGGTGAGAGTCTTGAGGGATAATCGATAGTGGCTCTTACTTATCTAGCATCACATGTGTGCTAAGCCGTAGTGCAATGCCTGACATGTGATAGTTCATAAGAAATACTTGTGAATGAATTGATATTATTGCTGCCATATGACATTTAACAGCTTTACTGAAAATGTGTGTTTATTGAAACTGTTAGATCCATCAATATAAAACTTTCCTACAAGTCTAGGTTGATGCAAAGAACCCACAGTTTTTTTGGAAGGGAAAACTTCTGTTTATTCAGTAAGCCCAACCTGCTAGTGTGGAAGTTTCCTTTCACTGTTCGCCTCTTTAACCAGCCTTCTAAGTGTGGCTTGCAGGTGGTTAAGAATAGGGTGGGATCCTTGAGGAGCTCTTGAGACTAAGACTGTAAGAACTCCCTGCTGGGCACCAAGAAACCACTAACGTTGGGCTGCAATGGGGTGATGCCCTTTTTATATAGAAAGTCTGATTCATATTAAAGTCCACTCATGTATGGGAATATTACAGTGTTTGTTTGTTTGTTTACATTTAGCTGTGTCATAAAATCCATGCAAGGGCCTGTGGCAGGTAAAAAGAAGAAATGAAATCGTAGGGTACTTAGCATCATGAAAGTTGGGGTCTCCGGAAGAACCAAAGATAGAGGCTGTGGAGTGAGTTTGCAGAAACAGGCCTCAGAACCTCATTGCAGAGCTGGCAAAACAGGGAGACGCTGCTTTTGATGACTCCAGAACCATGCTGCCTCTCCACCATCTGTGCCTGCAGCATGGAGGCCCTGCACCCCTTCTGCCTCTGCATGGAATCGCTTCTCTAGCTCTGTCTCTGCATGTGCATCTGATTAGCAGAACTAAGTCAGATGACTATATCCCAGAGGCAAAGGAAGCTGAGAAATGTGGGGGTTTCACATTCTATCTTGGGAAGACAGATTCACACCATGGGGGACCATCACGATGTAAGAGTGTCAAAAGATTTGGCTAACAGGAAGAACCAGAAGAATTTAGATTTTATAGAGCTCCAGTCCTGGATTCATGGTGCCAGTCAGCTCCCCGCAGTGTGTCTTTAGCTGGCAGGTAGATGTGGGCCTGAGCATCAGCTCCAGGAGGGCTGCTCCCAACAACTCACTAAGTGTCTCATACAGGAAAAGAGTGGTCATATATTGAACATAATCTCCATCCCAGATTCTGAGCTAAAATGTTCTGTTTATATTATGTATTTAAACTCCTTGATAACCCCAATTCAAGGGTATCGTTCTCATTTTACAGATAAAGAAACCTGGGCTGAGAAATTATGTCATTCTTCTCAAAGTCACGAGATAAGGTAGGGTTAGGATTTAATCCAAGTTCTGTGTCAAGCCCATAGTATTCCTAATAGATTGAATTTTTAAGCAAAAACCCCATGGAAATGTTGAGGTGGTAATGACTTTAGAGAACATGAAATTATGGGTGCTTGGAGAGGTCATTTATAGCTATCAGGTCTCAAAAGAGACATATGATCCCCAATTTTGATGAACCATTGTGCTCCCCAAACTTATAGCAGGTCAGTTGATAATCACAAGGCAGTCTCTGGGGCCTGGGTACATACACTCCAAATCAAATTCTTTCATTGTGCCAAAAAGCAACCATATAGCAAGAGTTCTATCAACCAAAAATTAAGGGTTTGGTATATTTCTGTTACCAAGGGCATAGTGCCATACAGCAGCTCTCTAGACTTTCCTCATTTTCTATGACTCAAACTTTATGTTCACTGAACAGCAACTCTGCCTCCCTTTCCTCCCAGCCCCTGGCAACCAACAGATTACTTTGAGCATCTCTGAGTTTAGCTGTCCAAGTGAATTTTTTTTTTTTGTTTTTTGTCTGAGCATTTATTCTCGTGACATTGTTTTGCAAATTTAAATTTTAGGGTAGGATCTCCATTTCTTGTGCAAGAATGAGCAGGGGTTAATCCTGATGTGAAAGGTTCTTTCTGACAGATGAGGAACGGCTGAGCAACCAGGGAACATATTTTTCATTTAACTACTCAAGTCCTGGCTGTACATCAGAAAGCCTGGCATCTATTTGTGACTTTGCCACCAACTCCATTTATCAGGGCCTCCATCACCTGTGTGAGAGGGGTAATATAAAACCCGCCATCATTTCCTCCATCAGAGTGTTATGAGATTGTTTTGAAAGTACTTTCATTTCCCCCAACAGAAAGGCATTATAGATCTATATATATTCCTGTTATGACTTCTTTGGGGGAAAGAAAAGCACTTTGGAGAAGTCTTGGTTCACAACTTCCAGGACTGAGTGATTTCGGAGCCTCACAGGCATCCATATGTGGGATATTCTTTATGAAGCAAGGCGTGTTTCTCTTTTCTCCACTCCTTCTGGATCATTTCTTCTCTTCTCATTTGTCATGGTTTTTTTTTAATTCTAGCATAAATAAACCTCTCAAATTGTTTTACCTTGCTGAAATGTTGGTTTAGATGGGGTTCATTATTTATGTCTAGATGTCAATATACATAATACTTTATAGAACACAAAAGCTTTACTCTAAAACAAGGTTAAGACTATTTTAAAATAGAAAGATGCAAAAAAGCCCAGGAGAGTCCCACTTACTGGTCGAAGGCTACACCATAAAAGCCTGCCTAGGAGAACTTCTCAGTGTACCATTCCATGAACAGAGTCGATCCTCTGAGTGTAAAATGTCCCCTTCTTTGCCATCTAGTCCCCAAGCAATCAGTTTTCTAAATGGCATTTTAGAAAGGTAATGAATATCTACTAACACTGGGTGTCAACTTAATTTCAAAGCAGTGGAATGGACCATAAATAAAAACAGCGAGTGATTTCCAGGGCTCCACCAGCTCAGACCCACAGGATGTGGATTACCAAGAGGCTGAACCAAAGCATCTTGAACAAGGTAAAAGAGAGAATAGGAAATATTCTTCATGTTATTGTTATAGTCTGTTTTCTTATGTGTTCTTTTACATAAAGAAATTTACATTATGGTGATAGCAAATAGATTGGTCCAACATATGATATATATTAAGCAGGTGGTAGGAAAGAAGGAGAGACAAAGGAGAACTTGGAAAATAGATTTTCCAAGGTTTTTTTTTCCAAAAACTGGAAACAGTTTTCCCTTGATGTCATATCTCAACTGTTGGATTTTGAATTTTTAAGCACAACCTTACAGAGTATATTGCTTAAATGAAGATTAATTGTCCCTATTCAATCAGATGCCTAAGGTAGGAACAGGAGCTCCCTCCCTAGATGAAGGAGTCTTCAGATCCCCATGGGAACACTGAGCTGCTTGGTGCTGCCCTGAGAAAGCAGATGACTCTCCAGCTGTCAAGAGCCATGCCTCCAGCCAGCAAGAGTCCCCTCTAGCTGGCAGGAGATCCCTCCAGCCAACATGAGCTCCCTCCAGCTTGCAAGAACACCCTCCAGCCAGCAGGAACCCCCCAGTCTTGCTATTTTTTTTCACAGCATTATCCCATTCCTTCTTTTTCATAATCAATTCCACCCTTTTGACTCAGGCAGGGCCCCAACTTCTCCAAGATCACTGTGACAGTCTTATCAATGAGTTCATTGCATATAGTCTAACCTGTTCAGTTTCTGCTGAACCCCCGGGCTAGATTGATCTAAAAATAGTCTTTTGATTGTGCTCCTCTTCTACATGTCAAGAGTTATCCACTGCTGGCATGAAAGACCCATGGCACTTCTCTACTATAGCCAAGGGTGAGTTCCATCCCTAATGACAAGGAGAAGAAAGTCCTGACTTATTACCCTAGCATGCAAGACCCTGCTGTTTTCCCAGCATGGTTTCCCAGCCCTCCCGCTGCAAAGTGCATGTTCTTGCCAACTGGATTATTCATTGTTTGTGACTCAGATTCTGCTCCAGCCCCATATACCATAAATGTTTATTCAACCAGAATCCTGTTTAGTCAATCTCTCTACCCATTAAAATTCAACAGCTATCCAAAGCCCACAAATCTGAAGGAACTTAACCCAAGTCCGTGTTGTCCAATTCTTTGACATGCCTCACATTGAAAGGCCTCTTCTTAAGTCTGGGTGGGCTGTGAGGATTCCCTTTCTACCAGCAGAATGCAGCAGAAGGGCTGTTATGTAAATTCTAAAGTTCTGCCAGAAATGGCCATGTAGCTTCCATCTGCTTTTCTTGGAGGGCTTGTGCTAGGGAAAGGTAGGTACCATAGAAGTACAGATACTCTGAGCCTACCCTGCAGGAGAGACCACAGAGACGCAATATGGTAGAAAGTCCAGCTCCTGCATAACTCCCAGGAAAGGAGGGAGACATTTGAGAGATGGCAGCAACCCCATCAGTTTCACAGGACCATGCCACCAAGCCCTTCCTCAGCTCCTGACTCCAGAAAACAGGCAAAAAGAAAGGACTGTTGTAAGCTACTGGGTTTTAAAGCCATTTGTTACTAGGTGCGCTCCACAAATTCTCTCCTTGGCTTCTGAATTGGAGACTGTCTCTCACGTCTCTAAATTCCAAAGCAGTTCTTCTCTAGCTCCACGCCTTCGAAAGACATCAACCGCAACAGGTATTACAGTCAGTAACAGACACTGTTACTGTTGGATGCTGGGAGAACAGCAGGTTTTAAGAACACTAATCCCGTGTCTTAGTGGGGTTTCTGCTGGCACAGCAGAATACTGGAACAGAGTAATCTCTGAAGGAGTTTGTGTGGGTTACACACTTCAGCGAAGCAGCCAAGTTCAAGAGTGGCTAGCCACATCCACTAAGGGTCTTGTGCTGTGTCGACTCGTGACAAAACACAGAAAGGCAAGCTGGCACCAGTGGGAGAGAGAAATGGGGGCCTAACTTATGAACAGCTCACCCATTCTCACAGGAAAAGCAGTCATCCCCAAGGGCTCTGCCTCATGACCCAAACACATCCCGTGAAACCCCACTTCTCAAGACTATCATCTTAGGTCGGTGACTCTTTTGCCTGTTCCTGGGTCCTTTTTTTCCTCCTCCTGGGTTGCCTTGTCCAGCCTTGATATGAGGGTTTGTGTCTAGTCTTATTGCATCTAGTTAAGCCGTGTTCAGTTGATATCACTGGGAGGCCTGCTCTTTTCCGAAGGGAAACCAAGGAGAAGTGGATCCAGGGGAGAGGGGAGGTAGGGGAGGACCCAGGAGGAGTGGAAGGAGGGGAGGCGGTGGTGGGGATGTATTGTGTGAGAGAAGAATAAACAAACAACCAAACAAATAAAAATACTGTGACCTTAAGGACCAACACCTCCACAGGAGTTCTGATGGAAACAAATGATATTCAAACCATAGCACCTTGTTGTCGAGATCTTTATAGTCCTGCTATAGGTGAACAACAACCAAGCCCAGGCCATTGTGGCACATGATTAATTGCATCCATAATACATAGCTGAGTACTCATTTTGTGACAGGCATTGGGCCCTAGCAAAATGAACT